ATATCTTCTTGTTCCAGTTATCTATTTTTGGGCATTTGGGTTGTGTCCATAACTTACCTATTATGAATAGAGCTGCAATAAACATAGGAGTGCAAATGTCTTGTGAATTAATGTTTTTGTGTCCTTTGGGTAAATACCCAGGGGTGGAAATGCTGGATCATAAGGGAGGTCTATTTTTAGCAATTTGAGGGACTTTCCACATAGCTTTCCATAGTCATTGGACCAATTTGCATTCCCACCAGTAATGTAGAAGGGTTCCTCTTTCTCCTCATCACACCAACATTTGTTGTTGCTAGGTTTTTTGTTTGTTTGTTTTTTAAATAAGGATTTATTTATGCTTACAGAACTGGGGTACAGGCCGGAGGTGTGGTGAGTGAGATGTACTGCTGAGGGGAAGCAGAGGCTGGGTCAGGAGAGGTCTGCCAAGCCATGTGGGTCAGCTCCCTGGTGGGGGATCGAACTTGTGCTACAGTGACTTCAGAGAGCTTCATAATATGGTGCTTTAACCTGTTGCATCATCAGGGAGAAAGAACCCTGTTGTTAGCTTTTTTTTTTTTTTTAATATGTGCCATTCTCACTGGGGTAAGATGGCATCTCATTGCGGTTTTGATGTGCATTAACAGTGATGTTGAACATTTTTTCATATGCTTGTTGCCATTTGCATTTCCTCTTTAGAGAAATGTCTTTTTAGTTCTTCTGTTTTTTGACTGAATCATTCGTTTTTGTTGAGTTTCGAGAGCTCTTTGTAGATCTTTATGATCAGTCCCTTATCATTAGTATTAGGTGAAAATTTTTTTCCCAATCAGTGGGGTGTCTCTTTGTTTTGTATCTTTTGCTATACTGATTTTTAATTTGATGTAGTCTCAGTTGTTTATCTTTGTCTTCACTATCTGTGCTTTGGGTGATGTGTTGTTAAAGATATTACTGAGGTGTATGTCATATACTGTTTTGCCTATATTTTCTTATATATATTTTATGGTTTCAGGTCTTATTTCTATTTCTTTGATACATTTTGAATTGATTTTGTTCCCTGTGAGGTGGTAATCTAGCTTTAGTCTTTTGCATATAGTAGCCCAGTTTTCCCAGCACCATTTATTGAACAAATTTCTCTGTTCCATTGCATATTTTTTGCTTCTTTGTCAAAGATTAGTTATCCATTGATCTGTGGGTTTATTTCTGGGTTTTCTATTTGATTCCATTGGTCTGTGTGTCTGTTTTTGTTCCAGTATCATGTAGTTTTTGATTATTATGGCTTTGTAGTATAGTTTGAGATCTGGTGTGTGATACCTCCATTTCCCTTCTTTTTAGTCGGGAGGGTTTTAGCTATTCAGGGTTTTTGTGGCTCCATATGAACTCATCAGTATTTGTTCTATTTCTTTGAAGAATGTCATTGAAATTTTAATTGGAATAGCATTAAACTTGTAAATTGCTTTTGGTAGGATGGCCATTTTGACATTAATTCTTCCAATCCATGAGCAGAGGAGCTCTTCCCATCTCTTCTATTTCTTTTAACAATGTTTTATAGTTTTCTTTGTATAGATTTTTAAGCTCTATTGTTATGTTTATTCCCAAGTATTTATTTCCTGACAGTGGAGTAACGTGGGATTAGCCTTCCCCTCACTGGCTGAGCTCCAGAGTCTGTGTTTAAGGTCTGCAGAGGCCTTGCTCTGGCTTTGGCTACTAAGCTGCTGATCCATGTTAGGTAGTGCAGCCCCTCCCCTCCCCAAAGGTGGGTGTGAGGTGCAGCCCCCAGTTTCCAGTGATGGTGTCCAGGCAGGGTCTATGCTCTGTGTGTCCAGCATCTTCACTTTGCTGCCATCTTCTACACAGCCACCTCCAGTTTCTGACTCAGTATGTCAGGGGTAGATTTGAGGAACAAGCACTTCTATCAAGTCTCACAATGTTGATGCGGTGGCAGGAATCACACTTTCAGATCCATTGGTTTGAAGTATGATCATATGTCTGACAGTTTTTATAAACTGTTAATGATGCCATATAAAGATAAAAGTATGACATATCTTTCTCCCTCAAACTGCCAGTTATTTTACACCTAAGCAACTGTGCCAAATGATGAAACTCACCTGACCATTTTTCTGTGTCTAAGATTTTCTATAATTTTTCATACCAATCTACTATGTGGATTGCATCAGGTTAATGCTAAGCAGCTGTTAACTTTCATGTTTTGTTTCTAATTTGTGTCGTACTTAGTTGAGCCAAGAAGCAATTACAGGACATCCAAAGGTGAAATGTCCCGACTGTAATAAAGAAATCGATCATACACATTACACTGAAGCCACAGAGCTGACGAACAGGCGTCTCTTGAGAGCACAAATAGTCAGTACCATATTTTTCTCTTTTAAAATTATTTTTAATTCTAAAATTACACTGAAAGCATCCCTCCTGAAGACATCTTTTCTATGCACCTGGGGTAGATGAATAGTGTTCACAAAGCAAGGTTTGACATTGTTTGAGGAGCCCACTTAACTACAAAAAAAAAAAAAAGAGAGAGAGAAAAAGAAATTCAAATTTACTTAAGTAAAATTTGTTTTATTATGAGGAATTGAGAATTTCAACAATCCCAGAAGTAGGAATGACAGCTCAACTTGATCTTCATTGTGTAGAGTGGTAAGTTCTGTGACACAGCCCATCTCTGGGTTCAAAGCAATTTGTCATTAATTGTTACTACCAAGTTTGCTAACAACTACATGTAGATAGTATGTTTTCCTAGCAAATCTTGAGCCTCAGCTTTCTCATCTATAAACTGCAGATTAGATACTTTCCTTATACACTTAGGAGAATTAAACATATAGAGCAGTTAATTCAGTAGTACAGAGAACTCAATAAAAAGCAGTTATTTTTGGAGACCAACCATTCTTTAAATGCTTCTTTACACTTTGGTGTGAATGACTGTTTAAGAATTTATTTTCTCTGGTGTCTAGCTACTTTGTCATTGTGTTGCTAAGTTTTCATCACTTTCAATTTTCTTATTTTCTCAGACTACCCTGTTTAAGAATATCAACTTTATTATTTTTGGAGGTATTTTAATCTCACATTATTTTATAAATATTATAATGGCATTTAACAAGAACATTAATCTACTGAATTCCTATAATTACAGACAAATAGTCTTTGATCCCTCATTCTCAAAGTTAACTCTGTCTCTTCCCTAATAGCCCCTAAAAACACAACCATGTTTTAATCTCCATAAAGAATTGTGCAGGCAGAATATCTTCTTTGTAAAGCAGTGCCCGTTCATTTCTCAGACCTTTCAGTTTAGGAAGTTGTTCTTTATACTGACTCTCAGCAGAGTTCAGCCCACTAAGGCAGAGGCCTTGCCAGGTGGCTTCCCGAGCATGAAACAGTGCCTGAAGTAGAGTAGCCCCTCAGCATGTGGACCGAATAAATGAGGGACTGTATTCTTCACAACAACTGCAGATCGCTTAATGCTTTTAATAAACTAAAGATAACACAGTTTTGTTCTCAAAATATTTGGGAAATTAAATAGTCGTGTAACTCAGGATCCTTTAGAATTTCTTAGAACCTCTAATATTCTGACATGCATGGTAAACTTTTGTGATGGGGATATTTCAGTCATGTTTGAATTTTTTAAATGGGCATACACCTGCAGTAAGTCCACTAATTTGGCTGCAGAAATCCATTAATTTTTGGTAACCTAATTAACAGCTAGCAGAATCCTAGTTTTCAGCAGAATAAGTCTGATTCTACCTAAAACCATAGCTGCTCACAATCACCAGAACAACATAGAAGGACTCCTTTTGTAAGGCTGCTAGTTTACTGGGGATTTTGACATCTTTCCCACAGGTTATTTTCCCAAAAAGACTTGACTCAACATTTCTTTTAGGCAAGTTACCAGAGACAATACAAGAATGAGACTCTGTCTCAGGATGCTGTCCAGATGCTGGTAGGGGCAGCAAAAAGCTTTGGTGAAAGGACAGGAAAGTAAGTATTATTGTCTAGAGGAAATTTCCATCCTGTGCCACTGCATTTAGGATATTGTGTATATCCATTTTCTTGCTTTGACCCAGTAAACTGGTAACCCTGGGACTATGTGCACTAGGCACTGTCTGATGCACCCATCGGGCCAAATCACATACTTGCTCTATTCACTTACACCTTTTATTTAAACTGGTTGTTCCTTTCTCTTTTTTGATCCCCAAAGCTAAGCTGTGGTAAACTGCTCTTTCTTTTAGACTCTTCATATACAGACTAAGGTCAGAGACTTTCTCAGTTTCCCCCTAACACCTCACCCCAGGTTTGTCCATTGCCACACCAACCAATGAGGGGTCCAGTGTGAAAATCCAGATGTCTGGAATCTCATGTATTTAAATCATGGTGTGTTTTCTCTCTGAACCTTGAGCTCTCTTGGCACCTTAAGCCATGCTGAACCTTGAGCTCTCTTAGCGCCTTAAGCCATGCTGAACCTTGAGCTCTCTTAGCGCCTTAAGCCATGCTGAACCTTGAGCTCTCTTAGCGCCTTAAGCCATGCATCTCCGGCTTTTTATTTTGTCGAATGATTGAGCCCCACAATGTAACTTTACAATTTTATAACTATTGGCAGCTACAGTTTTATTACTTGACACTACCCCTTATCTTATATCCAGTTATCAATGAACAAAATGTTCTTTGTGCTTTCTGACAATGTTGCATTAAGCTTATCCCTAAGATCTTAACGTTCTCTTCTTTTGCTTTTTAGATATTTGAGTCCTGACACAATAAAGGATTATTCTGAGGGCAACCAATTTCTTAGTTTTTCTAGAAAACTGTTGCTCAATTGGGTATATAATACTAAAAAGGAAAAAGGGGTCCCATCAAGGTAAGTGTTTTTGAAGGAGCCTTACTGGAAATGTTATGTTCATTTGTAATTTCCTATTTATGTCTCCTAAAATATATATCCTAAATACTTTGTAAAATAATTTTAGCTATTATAAAATTAAATTATATTCATAAATACAAAAAGTTATTTAAAATAAGAGACAATATAACTTGTTTTTATTATTGAAATAAATTTCACAGTGCATGAATAACCATTAATGATTTTTTAGTGTTATTCCATGCTGTCAGAATATTGGACAACCATTACCTCCATCAGCTTTCACAGTTTCACTGCCCGAAAGGCAAGCCCAGTACCAGTAAGCAGTTATTCTCCATTTCCCCTTCTCCCCAGTTCCTGAGTTGCATTAATCTGCTGTCTATGTATGATTTTACCTGTTCTGAATATTTCATATCAATGAGGCCGCCACAATACGGAATCTTTTCTTTCTGACTTCTTTCAGTCAGCATAGTGTTTTCACCTAATTGTAGCATTTGTCAGTAGCATAGAAGGTTTGTCTGCTTTTTGGCATGTACCAATAGTCCTTTTCTTTTTATGACTAAGTAATAGTCAATTTCATGGTAATACCATATAGACAATTATCAAATTAGAAAGGGAACAAGAAAAGGAGAATGATAAAAAGGTATTGCAAAATAGCTGCAAAACAACAAATGGCAATAGCAAGCCCATAACTGTTGATAATTACACTAAGTGTGAGTAGACTAAATACTCCAATCCAAGCACATAAAGTGGCTTAATGGATAATTATGCAACCTAATTATGTAGTCATAGAAGAGACTCACTTCAGTATGAAGACAACATAGACTTAAAGTGAAGGAATGGAAAAAGATATTCATTGCAAATGGAAACTGAAAGCAAGCTGGATAGTTGCATTTGCGTCATATCAAACAAAGTAGACGTGAAAGCAAATACTATAATAAAAGGCAGAATCACAATTATATAATGATAAAAAGAAGACATAACATTTCTTCTTTTTCATTCCAAAATGTTACAAATAACATTTGTAATTATTTATGTATCCAGCATAAAAGAACCTAAATCTGTAAACATTAAGAGACCTAAAGGGAAAAATAGACAATTCCACAATATTAGTAAATCTCAATATCCTACTTTCAGTAATGGATAGCTCATTCAGGCAGAAAATGAGGAAGGAAGCATTGGATTTAAACTACATTAGAATGGAATGGATTTAATCCATTTACAGAACATTCTAAGACCAACTGAGTATGCATTCTTCTCAAGTGGATATGGAACATTTTCTAGACTTGATCATATATTAGACCTCAAAACAAGTTTTAATTAACTTAATTTTGCAGTCATATCAAGCATGTTTTCTAACAACATAGTGAGTGAAACTAAAAAAAAATTACAGAAGAAAGCTAAAATTGACAAATATATGGATGTTAAGCAACATGCCACCCAATAATTACAATTTAAAGAAGAAATCAAAATGGAAATTAAAAAATTGCTCCACCAGAACAAAATGGAAATATAACCTACAGCTTACAGAACTCAGCTACTTTAAATAATCTACTAAATCTCAAGAACCTACACCAAATTTCACAATATGTTAAAAGGATGGCAAACCATAGTCATGTGGGTCAGGGAAGCAAAAGTAATTTATTATTCACAAGATTATGGGTAAATATGAAATCATCTCAACAGATGTTAAAAGGCATTTGCTGGTCTTGTAAAATTGCTATAGGCATGTTGTATTTTTGGGAAGTCTTTGAGAAAGGTTATTATTAATTCATTTTCAAATAGATGGTAGGAGTCACCAGTGAACTCATCTAGACTTCTGTTTATTGGAGGCTTTCATTGCTAACTCAATTTCTTTATTAGTAATTGACCTATTGAGATTTTCCATTTTTTCATGATTCAGAGTTGGTAGAGCAATATTCAAACGGAATGTTCTAAGATGTGGTTAGAACCATTTGAACTGGGTGAAACTGGTGTGAGTCAATTTGAACTGTTGGAACCAATCTGAACTAGTTGAAACTAATTTGATCTGCTTTGAATTGGTTGGAACCAGCTTGAGTCAGTTTGAACCAGCTTGAAATAGTTTGATCTGGTTTGAGATAGTTTAGTTTGGTTTGAGCTGGTTGAAACTGGAATGATTTGATTGATCTGCACTATAATATGTCTTTGATACCCAATAATATGAAATGAAAAAGAAAAGAAAAATGGAAAGGAAAAAAAGAAAAGCAATCTTGAGAAATTACTGGATGTACAGTGCTGCAGTGATATTTGTAACAAAGCTAACACTCCCTCACACCTCCCTCACAAGGACACTGTCTGAGGTCCTGGATAGTCCTGGAAATGTGATAACAGGTACATATATTTCTGTACTAATAATTTCATCTTTTATTAAGTAAGATCCCAAGTGGTAAAAGGATAAAAACCTGCATAACCTATAAACCTTGGAGAATGGGGAATGATCCAGTACTTATCTAGTCTTCAGTTGGTAGATGATTAATTATTTGGATTTAACAATAATAATACATTATACTACTTGAATATTTTAAAAAATTAAAAATATCCTTTCATACATAACTATACAGTCTAGCATAGTTGGTATAAAACTGAAACTATTCTACAAGACATGTTTATTAATTTGGATAATCCCACCACACATCTTGGGATTCAGTCCAGAATTTATCCCCAGACCAGGAAGATGTTCATGACACAATGTTAAAAGGGGCGGGGAACATGCCTGATATAACTTCTTTTATACTTATAGATAATGATTATACAAGCAAAATTATTAGAACAATATTCAAACTGAATAGTAGTTACCTCTGAATAGTGGAATTATGAAAAGTTGGAGGGATTTGTATGTTTTGTTTTTTAATATTTCAGTTCAAATTGCCTTTGTCTTATTATTGAAAGAATTTGTATTGAAAGTAAAAGTAAGCTTTTATGCAAGGTTGCAACTAGCCTCAAACCATTTAGGAAATTGAAAGGGTAATATATGAGATAAAAAGCCACAAAGTATTGTGGGTAGTGGGTAGTGATGACTCCAGAATTAATTAGGTTCTGTAGTGACTGGTAATTAGAACAGACCCGAATATATAATGGAAATAATTCAGTGTAGTTCTTTCTTCAAACACAACTCTTTTTTTTTTTTTTTTTACAGATACTACATTCTTCGTTTAAGCCATTCAATAGTATTTACTGATGAATTTGAGTATGTCGGATACCTTGTGATATTAATGAATCTATTTCCTATTACAATTACTTGGGTATCCAAGTTAAATGATGTTTATGAAAATGAATTGATATATTCTAACTACGTTTTTCTTTCATTTTATATTCTGGAGAGCCTAATTAAGGTAATCTGAAGTGTGTGTGTGTTTTCATGTTAAGTACCAAAGGGCATTTCCTACCTTCATTTTAATACAAGTTACAGTTTTCTAAAGGAGAATATGAGATTCTCCATCACTCATTAAACAAAAGAACTTTAAGTTGTTGTTCTTTTAAATATCCATACTTTAAGGATCTATTACATAAATTTTAATATGGTGTTTCCGAATTCAGGGTGAATTCCAAAGGTATTGTAAATGTTTTTAAACTTAGCCCAGTAGTAAGGACATGGATGTTCATTTTATTACTTTTATACACAGTAGATAAAAATGGATAAGTAGACTGATATTTATTTATACTTTAAAACATTTGATAATTTGATCTGTAACTCAGTATACAGGTATAGTTGCCAAATGATGGAAAGGAACTCCCACAAACTGATCATTAGCTAGCAATAGCATTATAGCATTAACTAGCTATAATATAAGGTTTTATATTTAAAGAGCAGATTTATTAGAGAAAGGGACATAAGAATAAAGAACACTTGCATAGACACAAGAGGCCAGAAAGAGCGGCCCTGTTTGCTGACAGAGGCCTGCGTGGTGGCAGGCAGGCGGCCTTGAGGATATCGGCCTCTGCTGAGGGAGGTCAGTGAAGAGAAGCTCTGGCATGGTGCAGGTCATGGGTGGGCAGGAGGTTGCTGCCCTGTGGAGGGAGAGAGTTGGTGAGAAGAAGCACCTGCATAGTCACAGGTGGGCAGAAGGACTGCTGCCAACATAAAGTATTTTTAACCATATTTACATAGAAGAATTATATCTGATAATGGAACAAAAGTAATGAACTCAGCTCTGCTGGAAAGTTAAAAATCCATGATATTGGGTAGGGGAGGGAGTCATAGCTAATCAATGTGTAGGGTAAATTCTGATTGAGTTGGAAAGACTCAAGGAGATTTCATAAAATTTAGAGGAAATGTAGCAATTAGGGGTAGAAATTGTAATATAGTAAAGACGAAAGTGAAGAGTCTCCAAAACCATTTGATAGATGCAACAATGGAAAGAGCCCTGAGCTTGGATTCCATGAGCCCTACCTCTGATTTTGGTTCTCTCTGATAAACTGTGAAGTATATGACCAAGTCCCTAAACTTTCCTTACAAAAATTCAAAAAAATGTCAGGATCAGTCTAAATAATACATTAAGATCCTCTATTCCCACTATTCTTTGTAAGCTGACAATTCTTTCTGTCACCTTAGCCAAGCTGGACTTCATTCGATGGTGTCCACTTAACTAAGCTGCAGAGATATTGTCACTGTCATAGCAGAAAGGGTATTCCCACTGTGCAATCTGCTCCTCTCTCCCCACAAGATTCTCCAATAAAACACTGAAAACATTTCAAATAGCACATTCAAAATGGATATTTTCTAAACCAATACTCCCCTGACAATTCCACTGGAAATCCAGCATCCCCGGCTGGAGCCACAATCAGTCTCCACTGCTTCCACTCTCTGCAGTATAATGGGTTTCCAACAAAGTGATTTTGCAATAAAGGACTGAATGAATGAACTGCCAGAAAATAGTTGATACCTTTGAACATTTTCTGTCTCTAGATTCATGATTCAATATTTTAACCACTTAATTTCATAGTAACGTGATCATAAGTAAGTAGAGTCTTAAAATAGATGAAATAATTTATTAATGTTAATTTCATGATCATAAGGTAACTAGAGTCTTAGATGAAATAAAGATCTAGCTAGTAATGTTTTGGGTTTTATTTAGAGAATAGTATAATAAGCTAAGAATGAGTAATCATGTAATTTCTTAGTTTTTTTATTTTCTTACATTGTTGTTAATTTGGGGACAGTATTTGATACTTGCGCCATGTGTAATGCCTTTAGCTTCCCATCACCATAGCATCCTGGTCTTGTTCCTGTATTCTTCCCTCCGATGTTTTGACTCATCCACTCCATCTTCCCTCCAGTTGCATGTCTCAGATCTATGGTCAGCTTGCAAGTGTTGTCTTTTTCCTGATCCTTTGTTTGGTTTCTATGTTTCTTTTTAAATGAACAGATTGCAGCAATGAGGAAGGAATATTTTTTACATGCTTGGAACTTATTTGAACTTGTAATTACAATCATTGGCATCATAGATGTAATACTATTAGAGGCAACTTTCTTTCATTCTACTTTTGATTATAATCAAGCAGCGATCTTTATGAAAATTGTTCAAATATTTCGTGTATTGCGCATTTTGAAGGTAAAGAACTACTACATCATGCAATTTCAAATTTCTTCCGATTATTTTATGAAATTTGAATGAAAATATGTTTACCAATTTTATGGCTTCCACTTTCTGTTTGATATTTATACTTAAAACTTTAATACTTTTTAAAAATAAGTTTTATACTACAAATATCCAAGTGTATTAAAACTCATTTAGTGCATGAAAGTATTTATTGCCATTCTTCCTTTGAGACCACATGAAAAATTTCATATTACTAGTGCCAAAGCACTTTTCATTTTTATAGATACCTGTGATAAAATATAGAAATCAATAAAACAACCATGTAAGCCATTCGTAATGACAAAGCAAGCTTAATACATTCATACTAACCAAGAAACCAAAAAATACACCTTAGGTACTACATAAACTCATATTGCTACAGAATCAAAGAACCAAAAGGGCCCTGGTTGTCCAATACATCTTCCTATAAGTAATATATGTAGTTATTTATAGTCTCTATGGTTATTTAAATGACATGAAACTCATTCCACCCCAAGGCTATGAAGTATACATACACACTCTATTCACACACAAAATATGTACCCATAAGTACTCTAGGAGATATAAAACCAAACCACATAGTTCATCAAAAGATTAGAATATTTATCTTTGGATCTTTCTTATATATGTTCAAAAATATTCATGCTACTGGGAGGCATAAAGCATCCAGGTCGAAACATATGTGATTAATAGTGCTTTTTTTTAGCATGATGTAAGACTGCCGGTAATGCTGTATACAATTTTACCTGAGGAAGGCGACTGTAGTATATTGCAGGGACCAGTGAATTCTTTCTGGGGCACGGCTATATGGAATCTAACATTTTAGATAAGGAAACTGGCAAACCACCTAAGAGAAGTTTGTTCTCTGAACCCTTACATTATGTCAAATAGCAGGGCCTTGGAATATGAAGACTTATCATTGTAGAAGGGCAAAGGTCCTACAGTAGTGTATGTGCAAAGCAGTAGTGTGTGAGGACAGCAGGGGATAGGAAAGACTTTGTTTTTTAGGTGATACTTGAACTGAATATTGTGAAATGAATATAATTTCTTTGAGGATTAAGAGGGCGGGGCTACGGGACAGAGTATAGAGATTGCAAGCTGCCGTAGGGAGCCAGGGGAAAAGCCCAGTCTGCTGAAGCTTGCGATGTACACAGTGGTAACAGAAAACCAAGAGACAAACCCTCAGAAAAGAAGTAATGAGAAGGTAACTGTGGAGCCAAACAAACAGCATAGATAATCAAGAATTCTCACTCAAAGGGACAACAAATACAAAGTTTAGTAGCGATGTAATAAGTTAAAGGGCAGTATGCTATAGTTACTCTCTGACCTAAGTCCAAAAATATAAACCTGCATTTTCTACAAATTTAAACCACTTGAAAATTGCATCCAATTCTACAAGAGAACTAAGATAAGGATTAAAGTCATCATTTCACACATGTGCCTAATCGTGAATTTATAAGAATACATAGGTAAAATCACTAAAATCCTTGACAGGTTACTACAGTTACTATTAAGAGTGTGTCACTTCTTTTTAATATACATTTTAGCTAAATAAATAGGCTTGTAGACAACTAATATTTGTACTGTATATTAAAGTTATCTGGTTGGTTTGTTTGCTTTCCCAGCTTGTAACACCAAAGTTCCTGCAATTAATAGATAAAAAGATGAGTCATCAGTTGTCCCTTCGGTATGCTATATTAAAAGGTTATGTCCAAGGTGAAGCAGACATAATGACGATAATTGATAAGATTGAAAGCTCCAAGCAAGTTAAACAGGTAAGGAAAAGTTTGAATACCAAGAAAAGGCTAACTCTCCCACCCTGTTGCCCTCTCCCTTCGTCTCCCTCCTATGTAGTTCAGTGGGATCTTTGCTCTCAGTTTGCTAAGTAACTTCTGCCAACACGTAAACCCATCCACATTCAGGTTATTTAAATACCTCCTTCCTGAAAATATCTGTGCCACGTTAGCAAGTCAGAGGCACTTGGAAAGTACCTTTCAGTCCTGTGATCACAAAACCTACATACTCTGGTTAGTTCCCACCCAGTGCAAGTTCCAGGTACTGTCAGGTTGCAGAAGTGAGAAGCGATGGCAGTGTGGAGCAAACAGGGCTTCCTCCCACTTCCCAAAGGTTCCATCTATTTCTCCCTAAAAATCCCTGATTTTCCCTGGTAAATAGCAAAAGAAATAAGACAGGGCTCTAACAAATGGAAAGAAGTAACAATAGCCCTTCTAAAGAGAAGCCCTCTCTGCCTCATTAGATAGATGAGAATAATGAAGAGAGATCATATTATTATACCCAGACAAAAAGGTAGGTCCTATGTTCTTGATTTTTTTTTTTTTAAATTGAGGAAGAGTAACACAAGTTGACCAGATGGGTGGAATTAAATGTTTACCTTTACTGGATGCCATATGTTACATGCTCAAAGTCTGGTAGCTGAGAAAAATGAGCATTTAATAGAGAGTAAACACACACACAAAAACTATCTTCACCACCTGTAACTTTAAAACTATTATCCAGACGTTTGTTACCTTTTTTAATGATTCACACAATGAAATTTGAAGGTACACAGTAGCAAATACAAAGATTTGAATCACCATGATGGGATTCAGTTTTAGTTCTCATTTCTCTCCTCACACAGCTTAGCTAAACCTTTAGTGCCTCACCAGAGGTTGAAAACTGTCTTTATATCCCAACTGTGAAGGCTTCCATACATTTGAATAGAAAAACACCAGGCCTTCATTCTCAGTTTCCATAGCATCCTAAAGCAAGTGACTTTAAGGGAAAGACATGCCTCATTTTGCAGGCTTCTCCATGTTGACCTAGGGAGTGCCACTTCTTATCCTTGCTACCATTCTTGCTGAAGCAAAAGAGATTTCATTGCATAAAACTTAATTCTAATCTCTAAAAATTACTTCCCCATCACATTTTTCTTTAAAGTCATTAATTTAGGTTAAAAATTTCTAAGTTGCAAATGTAAAGATGCTATAATCAGTTCATTTTCAAATGGGGATAACACTTCTTTTTGTTCTACAGATGCTACTAAGGAGGGTAAAAAGAAACACAGGACAAGCTATGAAAGAGCTAGGTGGGTGCCTTTTCAAAGGTTCAGCCCAGGCATCTCTTAGCATCCCTAATTTAGAGAGGTAATGGTTATGACCACTGAACTGATCTTCGAGGAAACCGACTTACTACTAGCAATAAAGTGGAGAGCTTCAGTAATCCACATGATTGTATCATTGGCTGGGTGGGTGGGTTGTGATAATACCTCTCCACACTTGTTCTCTCTGCCCTATACAACAGTGAAGGCCTTTTTATTTCTATCTCAAAAATACGCATTAGCAATTCATAGTTACCATGTAATTTATCATCTTGTAAATTCTGTTTTCTGTTAACTCAGGAGTACTGACATCTCCCTGAGCAACACAAGGAAAGACGTTATACTTTTTTTCCCTCCATTTGCCACAGAGCTACCATCTGTGGTTTTATAATGAGTTGAGATGAGAACAGAGTCTCCAATCTCTGTAGTGATTTATGGGAGGCTCAGTGCTGACACATGGCAACCGCCAGGTCTCAGGTCATGTTCCCGATAGTACAGTGTTCATGAGAAGGGTGTTTGTCAGGAGAAGGGTGTTTGCTACCAGACAGTGGGCAACAAAGGGTACAACAAGCCTGGGAATGAGGACTGGACTGAGAGCTTGTATGACAAGTAGTTGTCAAGCCAGGTTAAGAGGTTGTGACCAAGAGAAAATCCAAACGAAGTGGATCAAATTGTCATGGGCATCCAGGAGTTCAGATCAGACAGGCAAAAGATGAAAGCTGATAAGTCATCTAGAAGCACAACTGGGTGGGTAGACAATTACCAGCCTGAGAGGCTTAATAGGAAGCCAGGTCGAAGCATGTATTCAAAATCCCGATTTTAGCAGCATGAAAGAGGGTCAGGAAGCTGCCACACCCAACACCCAGAAGCTCTCTGTGCCTAGTGCAGGTGAATCCAGGTAATTGTTACCTCGAACTGGGGCTCTCTGTCCCTTCCTGGGCTTCGGCGTAGGTATATGCTGTGGACAAGAAAACCAGCACACTGGGGAATTAGTGTGTACCGCAGAAGACATTCATTTCCCTGCGTTGTGGGTTGTGCCCATAAGTTTAGAGCAGCAATATTAGCTTATTGCACCCATGAACTATTTAAACAATGTTCTTATTTCATATGAAAATATTTTGTTATTTTTCAGGCTACTTAGAGTATGATCACCCAGAAATTGCTATCACTATGAAAACAAAGGAGCAGATTCATCTCATGCTCAATTTAGCTAGTCAAATTGTTGAGGTCTTCAGGGTAAAAGGAATTCTTCATAAAGTTGAAGGTGCTGAAATTAATAAGGTAAGGCAGACTATTTTTCAAAGCAAGTGTTTTCACTTGGCACATAGTCATTCATGTTCTTCAGACCTACTTTTGGCTCTTTCCAGCTTAGGCCACACCTGAGATATGGATAGCTAACTTAAAAGAATTGCCTAAGAAAAATGTTTGATGACCAGTTTGAAGAAAGGAGCTTAAATAATTGCTATTCCTCTGGGTGCAAGGACCCAATTATTGTTGTTTATAAGGAGGTATATTTTTGATAATTTGAAGGGCTATGTCATATTTTAGAGAATTCTCATCAGTATTTTCTAAGAAGGGAAGAAATTTTTTAACCCCCCCCCCCAATAGTTGCACGTTTCATAAAATATTGGTGAATTTTGGATGTGGGAGATGGCTTAAATATTTCTAAGTGTGAATCTAAGTAAATCTACCCCACAGATACATGCTTTCAGTTCAGGAATTTTTATTTTTGTAATAGCCTTTCATATTCCAAATGTTGCTAGAAAAAAATCCTCCTTTAAAGCAGGAGACTTATTTAATTCAGCATAGATGACTCCTATGTATTTTTTTGGGATAGGACACCTTAGATGAGTGTGTTTTTAATGTTACATGTTTGTTGCATTTAAGTAAGAGGAATGTATATATTAGGCAACTGAAATAAAAATAAAGGAAAGTACATACCAGAAAGAGCTTCCTTAGTGCAGATGCAGTGGTCAGTTTCTCTTTTCTTTCTTGCCATAGTGAGGAACCATCTCCTTCTATGCTTTGCTCCCATGACAGAATATAATGAGTCTATTACTTATTCTGGGCTAGTAATTATCAGTATACTTATGGGAATTATTGATGACATTGATAAAAATTTTCCCATAAAAATTGTGTTTATAAAGAAGCACTCAGCATAGGGTAGCTACTATTGCATTTCTCTAAGTTAGTTAAATGATATGGCTTGTAAAAAGATACAGAGGAACACAAATTAGTCTATAAGAATAAAATTTATCCTCAAAATTAAGAGTAGAGTACGAAAAAACAAATACACTATTAGGTTTGTGATTGTATACATGAAACTTTTTAAGATTATAGCAGCTAATTAAAGCTAGGAGTATATTAGAAACATAGTGTACTATGACTGAAAAGGTTTTACCTCCAAAATTAGCTATACAAGACACTTAAAGAGCTCAAAAAAGGGCAAACACTTGACAAAAGTTAACTCATTCAGAATGCTCAAAAAAATCTTTCAAAATTAATAAGGAAAGTTCCGTCAGTAATTAGATAAAGGTATCTTAAAATATGAATTGTATTAGTTGGCAAATCCTTAGCTTGCAATGCTGCATCCTAACCCATTGCACCACCAGGAGGGCCCGATGTTTCTTTCATATCTTAATCTGGAAGTGGGTAACATGTTTTCACATTGTGAATGTGCTCTGAGTGGACATTTATAATTTGTTGCATATCCACTCTATTCAGTAAAAAGTTTAACCTTTAAAATCTAACCTATAACTTCAGAATAATGATACCACAGAAAAGTACTAAAACAGGGTGAAGGTTTCCATAAAATAATAAAAATTCTAGAAAAACAAGCAAAAGAAATAATACAAAGTAATAATTGGTTTAAGTATTTGATGAGCACCAGTTTCATTAAATCTTGTTTTAATGAAATCTCTTCTTAAATCTTGTTTTTTATTGATAGTTGATAATGATCAAGAAGAGAGAAATACTTAATGATCAGCTTACTATCAAGCCTCTTACTGCTGATGAAGTCTTGTACCATATTCCATGGCTGGATAAAGACAAAGAACTTATAAACTTCATTCGGGTAATATTTCTGTTTCCTAGCAATATCATTTCTAATTTACCAACATATGACCTTTTAAATATGCTGTCCAATTTAAAATTCTTCAGATGTCTTCTAAAATCCCTTTGAATGATACTCAAAGTCTTTCCGTAGCCTTCTTCTTTCCCACCTCTCCATCTTCATCATGTATCTCACACTCCATTTATACTGCACTGCTAAATGTGCCCCAAACACTTAACCCTGCTTTCTAATTCCCTTCCCCTGCGAATGCTAGTTACTTACCTTAAAGTTCCTCTGTTTTCACATGTTTTACAAACCTCCTGCTTAGTATTTTCTCTGGAAACATCCCCACCCAAAGATACTCCAAAAAGTGAGCTATGGGGTTAAACACCCAACCAGTAAGAAGACCTTCTATCATTCATCATGAGTCGACAAGACCAAGGATTTCATCGTTGTATCCATTATATATGTATCTTTATTATACCATTATATTACATCATAATAATCTTTACCTCTCTTTCCTATAAAAAAATACTATATTTTTCTAAATCATGCATCTTTTGAATACCCAGCCCCAGGCACTGGGTATATTGCATAATAGACATTCAATAAGTGTTTGTGGAATAAACAAATGAGTATCACTTGTATCAATTCAATTATTTTTCTGTATCTCTTTCGTGCCCTAAACCCATTATATTTTTGACCTGCTGTTTAGAACGGGGATATGTATGAGTTACACATGTGCCATTAGCCTGTATCTGTCCTAGTTATTTTTCATCCAGATGAGATATGTTTTCATTCTGTTGTAGTCTTGGGAAATCGGAAGAAATTTCCCTCATCTTATCTGGATTATTCTAAGATTGGACAAAAGAGCATCAGACAGATTCGTATGAGAAGAAGCCAAATTTTAATAATAAATGTATGGCTTTTATTTGAAGAGATTTTGTGGTTGTAAAGCCCAAAGGCTAATGGTACAGACTAGGGATACATTCCCTGTGTTAAGGGACCTGGGGCATCAAGGAGAGAGGAGGGGAGACTTCACATGACAAACAAGGAGGAACGGTTACTCTGAGAATAAAGATGAGTGTTTCAGATAGAAAGGGCCCATTCACTGATGAACCTACAACTTGAGGAGACCCCTCCCCCCAACCACATTCTTCTAGGTCATAAAAAGGACAGTTTTTGCTTCTTCAACTAGGAAAAGAGCCAGAAAGTAAGGATGTGATGATCTCTTCTTTCATTAGCAAGGGGTAAAGGACACAGTCAAGGACAGAAACTCATCTTCAGCTTCATAGAATTTTATAGCTTTTAGCTCAAAGTATTCTTCATGTCAGAGCAAGGTATCTTGAGGGGACCAGTTCTGGTAATCACAGAACTGATGTGTCAGGTGAAATGATATCTGTACTTCATCAGAATTTGCATCTACCTCTGAGTACCCACCTTCTCTCTTTGCTATTCATAATTCCTATTTCCTCTTATAAATGTACTGTTAATATCTCAGCTCTTCATGATAATTATAATAAAAATATAAAAACTTTTATTAAAATATGAACTTCAGGGCACTCCCTGGTGGCAAAACAGGCTAAAGCACCGCATTATGAAGCTTTCCAAAGCCACTGCAGCACGAGTTTGATCCCCAGCCAGGGAGCTGACCCACATGGCAAAGCAGACCTCTCCTGACCCACCTCTGCTCCCGTCAGCAGTGTATCTCAGTAGATCTGCCTGTTCTGCTCCCCACTCTCTCTGGTGAATCCTCTCACCCAACACACCTCTCACCTGTACCCCAGTTCTGTAAGCATAAATAAATATTTAAAAATATATATGAACTTCAACACTCCCAACTACTGCTATAATAATTGTTTTTGATTTGTGTCTCATGTATTTGATAATATTTCTTAGGAAGAAGCCAAAATTATAACATTTGATTGTGGAAATGATATATTTGAAGAAGGTGATGAGCCCCAAGGAATTTATGTAATTATTTCAGGCATGGTAAAGGTAAGACAGAGTTTCTTATCAATGTATTTGTGAGCATTAGTTTTAAACAGTTTGTAGAACTGCAAGTGAATAGCTTTTCATGTTCAGAACTGTATTGATGGTTTTTGCAGGATGGCAGCTACCATCCAGGCAACAATCTTCTGTTTCTGGCACAGTGGATAACACTATCCATCAACTTTTCCATAGATAACAAGAAACTATTAAAAGGTAGATGCTTGATAAGGAAATTATGTGAGTTGCTACATTTATCTGAATTGGCCATTTAGCCTTTCTAAAGCAAGTATAGATTTACTGAATAGGACAAATGGGAAAGATGAGAGTATTTAAAAGTACATTGGTTCTAAGTCACTGCCAATTTAATATGTCTGCTTTAAAAGGTACAAAAAAAATCCTCAAACTATATGTATAGATATAGATATCTATATAAACTATCTGTGTATATATTTGTTATATATCTGTATATCTGTATTATATATCTGTATATATATAGTTGTTACTACCAAGGGAAAAAGTCACAAATTAGCTCATTTTAGTAGATTAACTAGTATGTGTATTTTTTTCTTCCTTTGTTCCTGAACAGTTTCAAAGTTCAAAACCAGGTGTGGGGATGAACCAAATATTAGAGGAGTCAGAGGAGAAAGATAATCAGATAACTTACATAGATTTCATGATCAGCGGGGAAATAATAGGAGAGTTAAACTGCTTAACTAAGGAACCCATGAAATATTCTGCCACCTGCAAAACTGTTGTGGAGGTCAGAAAACATTATCTTACTGATAGACCTTGTTTATTATCTGGTATCAAATATAAGGTTATATCTGTACTTGGTATGTAGTTACCAACTAGTGACAATTTTTTGAAAACTAGAAATGGTAAAGGAACTTGTCATAGAATGATACTTCTCCAGTATAATGTTATCCAGCTAAATGATTTGCAAAATTTAGTCTACCATATAGAAAGAAAACTCCATTATCATGAAGAAATAGGGTGGGATATGTTAACTGTAAATCACAAATTAGGGGTAAGGTGAAAGATCTAGGATCTACTAACAAGAAAGATGAGCAAAGCAGATAGTACTTTTCCTAGATAAGAAGCCTCCAGCAACAGGTGCACCTCTTGCTTAATTTGAAATCTTAAAAATGACACTTAAACTCCATATATAAAAATCCATAAGCTGGCAATGCTGCCAATTTTTTTTTAATATCCAATGAAAATGTTAGAATACCAACCTATTACCCTGACCATGGAGTTTTTGAAAGAAAAGTAATTAAACATATATCCCGCTTTTCCTTGTTGAATTCATTCAAAGGAACGAAAAGCATGAAGTGAAAAAATTCTGTGCAAGAGAATTCCAGCTATCAAATGCAGAATGGAAGAATTAGAATATCTCCATTTTGCCATTCTAAGGAAATAACAGATTTAGGCAATAACCTCCAATTGATGTAAAACTACTAACTGGAATGTTAGTGAGGATTTTTGTAACAAAAAATCCTTCACCACCAAAAACTGTCTTAGTATGACTAAACTTGGGACAATAGGGTGTCATGTACCTTACCTGAAAACGTAGTGGGAGTGCTAGCACTCCACAAAGTTCTCCTGCACAAAAGAAAAACAAAAATTTTAGATAAAATGCAGGAAGGAGAGAAAATGACACCAGTATAGGGAAATTAGATAAATCTAGAATGTGGGAAGTTCTACAACACAATCTGTTTTGCTTCCCCCCCCCCAAACAAATCAGTAATATATAAAAGCGGAGAGAAGGAGAAAGAAGTGAAATTTTACAATCTTACAAGTGAAATTGTGATGCCTGAAATTTGCACTAAAATATTCTACCCTCTTTCTAGCCATAACAGGCGACTGATAGCAAACTACCATACTATAGCACCTACCATAAACAATCCAAAATTGACAGAACATATGGACAAATATTTTCAGCTTCCTTTTTGGAAAACAGGTGATATAAGTCTGGGGATCTTAAGAGAAGAGACTCACAAGTTAAGCCCCAATCAATCCTGACTGCTGAGCCCAGAAGGGAGAGACAGAGATTCTGGCATTCAAGTTGCAGTTCTGCCTCTGGAGTTCCAGCCCCGGGCCCCTAGAAAAAGCAGTTGTGCTGAGGAAGACCTAAGAACTCTCTCTCTGATGGTTCTCTACAAGTCCTTGGTTGAGAGATAGCCTGCATATGCCCTGGACTGGGCAAAAGTAACCAGAACAGAGATATTAGGGATCATTAAGGTTCTGTGTTAAGGAAAAGGAGATTCCTCAGGCATGCAAATGGCAGGCCAAAGAGAATGGTTCTTAAGAGCAAATATCATAACCTAAAGTGACATCTGCTTTAGATCGAGCCTAACAGCATCTCAGTTCAAGCCCTGACAAGATCCATAGTGAAAACAGAATTTGGAGACTAAGTTACATGGTCTCAAGAAAATAAAAAAACTCTAGGTGATTCGAGAGTAAAAAAAAAACCTGCCTACCACCATAAAATGTTAACTTTTAGGGAATGAAAATAGAGTCTGGAGTCTCTACAATAGATCATCAGCAATTAGAATGACTAAGCAAGCAGACACATGAGCATGTGACCGACAGTGTGGAGAATCTACGGGAAGGGGAGGGCGACAGTGATAAAAAGCCAATATTGAGTTTGCTCAGAAAATGGATTAGGCACACAGAGATACTCAAGAGTTATTAAGAATAGACTTTAAAAAAAAAATAAAGGACAATATCATCAAACAATGAAAGGAATTTCTTCATGAGAAGAGATAGGACAACTAAGCATAAAGTGGAAATCTAGAAAAGTCCAATATAAATTTTAGAAGTAAACAGAGCGGATTGGAGGTGGCAGTATGAAAAGAGTCAGATAATAGAAATAATAATGTCTGAAAAAGAGAACAGTATTTTGTAAAATGTACAGACAGACATGTCAGCTGGTAAAATGTGTGTGTAATAGGATTTTCAGGAAGAGAAGAAATGGTTTCTGGGAAATTTAAACAAATGGAGAAATATGGACTTGAAGCCATAATGTTACTGAATTGTCTGATATTCCCAAGTTGAGCTGTAGTTCTCAATTAAAATTTCCACAGGCCCTTTCTTATAGAAATTTACAATTCTACTTTTAGAATTTTTTTTAAAGATTTATTTATTTATTCATACAGAACTGGGGTACAGGTGAGAGGCTCAGGGGCAGTGAGAGGCTTCACCAGAGACAGAGTGGGGAATAGAACAGGCAGATCGACCAAGTACACTGCTGAGGAGAGCAGCGGGTGGGTCGGAAGAGGTCTGCTGCACCATGTGGTCACCTCCGGGGCAGGCGGAAATTGAACTCATGTGGAAGTGGCTTTAGCTTCTCAGTGCTGTGCTTTAACCCGCTGTGCCACCAGGGAGGGCCTACTTTTAGAATTTTTATGAAAATTCAAAAACTCTAGAATAGGCAAAATAAATTTGACAAAGAATAATATTAGATCACCTGATTTAAAAACATTATAAATCTATTACAATCAAGATTACGTGGTGTTGAATTAAGAATACAAAATATAGAAAAATGGATACAGCAAATCCAGTAATATATGCACATCTACATAGCCAATTGATTTTTTTATTATAATAGCATTTTTGACAAATGATCCTTAAAGCATAGAATATACACACAGATATAATTAAGAAAACCTTACTTTTAAAACAGTAGTATACAGATCAAAATATTAAACTTAAACCCTCCTTTTCCAGACATTTTTCATTCCCAAAAATCATCTGTATAAAGCTTTTGATCAATATTGTCCTCACATGGAATACAAAATGTGGCTAAAACTTGGACTTTCTATTACTGCCAGAAAAATCAAGGAGCACTTGTCTTATGAGGTAAGAGGTGTTTATGACACTCAGCCTGCTCTCTGAATGCAATGAATTAAAATATTGTTATAAAATAACTACTCAGGAATTTGTGGTAAGCTTCATGATCACTAAACTGAGAAATTGTGCTTTCCTTCTAGGAATGGAACTACAAGCTGCAATTAAAGCTCTGTAATGTTTTTGTAAAAGATATACCAAAGAGCACCAAGACTGATATCTATGGTGAAACTGTAGCTTATGTGATCCTCATCCATGGAGCTGTAGAAGACTGTCAATTACGAAAAGCTTATAAAGCCCCTTCCTTAATTCCTACAACTTGTTGTCAGGTAAATATTCATATATTCTTATCTTTAAATAAATATGCAATGTAGCCAACAATGTGTTAACATTAGAAAAATTGACACTTTTCCACATTCCCATCCTCTCCCTTTCCTCTATCACTCCATTAGTATATCCCTCCACACACACATGCGCACATGCACCATGTTTGCTAAAGCCATTGCACACCAAATATCAAGCTATTTCTGTTCAACATCAGTGAAGGAAGTCATCGGGCTGTGTGTTTTCAATCACATTTAGATTTTGATGCAGTTGTAAATAGCAAGATGACCTATTAAGTCGTTCATTTACAAACTAGAGAAGAGTCCTGTCTGGACTTTATCAACAGTGTGCTTTCTACAAGTGTTCTGCTAGGCCCATGTTGAACTGATTACCAATGTTTATTTACCCAGGTAATTTTTTTTTTAAATATTTATTTATACTTTATAGAACTGGGGTACAGGCCAGAGGTATGGTGGTTGACAGCAGTCACCAGAGACAGAGTGGGGAGCAGAACAGGCAGATTGACAAAGTACACTGCTGAGGGGAGCAGTGGACGGGTCAGGAAAGGTCTGCTGTGCAATATGGGTCAGCTGCCTGGCCAGCCGGGAATCAAACTCATGCTGCAGTGGCTTCTTCGGAGTGCTTCATAATGCGGTGCTTTAACCCACTGAGCCACCAAGGAGAGCACCTCCCCAAGCTAATTTTAAAGTGAATGTAAAAGTGAATGCCTTCCCATATTTAAGTTCTGTTGCTTTTCTAAGCAAAAAGAGCTCTGTTACATAGGAAGTGTGTGTGTGTGTGTGTGTGTGTGTGTGTGTGTGTATTCAGGGCTACAGTAAGAAGGGCATGTGTGAGAAGAAATCAGGGGACATAGAAAACACATGTATACAAAGTAAATTGAAAGAGAAACTTATAATCATTTAAGTGGCACAAAGTATGCTGTATGCTATTGTGCCCAAGACAAGTAAGGTTTATATTTTGCTCTAAGGAAATCTCTCAGCCAAAGAACCATACCTAAAACATGAAAGTGCCGATAGCTATGATAGTGTTTGCATGGTACATTTGGAACACAAAGTGTGAGGTAGGAAAGAGGAATAATGAGGTAAGAAGTATCTTTTTCATAGGAGATATGTACTGAAAGACTCGGATGAGGTAGTAAGAGGTCTACAACTTTGAAGTTATTCAGAAAAAAAGAGATACCAAATATTGCAAAATGTTAATACATATTGAATCCAAAGGTGGTAGGCATATGCGTACATGCTTATGGTGCTTTTCTTTTAATTCTATATGCTTTAGCTTTTTTTCTAATAAAAGAGTGGAACCTGACAAAGATACCACAAAGAAAATTATAAATATCTCTGATGAACATAGCTGTAAAAATCTTCAAAAAATTCTTAACAAACCAAACTCAACAATGCATCCAAAGAATCAAGAGGAATTTATTCCAGGTACACAAGTATGGTTCAACATCAAAAAATCAATCAATGCTGCCCTCCCTGGTGGTGCAGCAGGTTGGAGCACTGTCCTGTGAAGCTAAGCCAAGCCATGGTGCATCAGTGTGAGTTCCATCCCCACTGGGAGGTGATCCACATGGTGCAGCAGACCTCTCTTGTCTCGCCCACTGTTCCCCTCAGCAGTGTACTTTGTCCATCTGCCTGTTCTGCTCCCCCACTCTGTTTCTGATGAATCCTCTCACTGCCCCTGCACCTCTGGTCTGTACCCCATTTCTGTATGCATAAATAAACATGTCAACAAAAGAAAAGAGGAAAAACATATAATCACATCAATAGATGCAGAGAAAGCATTTGAAGATTCAGCATGCACTTAAAAAAACCCTCAGAAAACTGAATAATGATGGAACATACACTAACATAATACACTGACAAAACCACAGCAATATCCTAATCAACCATGAAATGCTGACACCATTTCCTTTGTGATTGCTACAAGACAAGGACATCTACTTTTAACACTACTGTCCAGAAACAGCATTAGAAGTCCAAGCTAGAGCAATATATTGCTATTTTTCATTTTCAGGGTCAGAATTTTAGACATGTAGGATTCATGCTCACCAGAGAAACATTTAGTTGGATGATTGTATTAACTCAGAGATCAGCTTGTCTTCTGTCAACTTTCAGGTACAAGGCACTGAAGATTTCACAAAGGTAATGATTGTTGAAACACGAGTTGATCTACAAAACCACAGGAGGAGCACCAGAAAGTTTGTGTCTTCACACAAACCTGCCTCAGTATGTGAGTTAATTTCTTTGTGCAATTATTTTGAAACTGACTTTTAATTTATAATATAGTCATATACTTATCTTGGAACTATTGTATGAATTCTGTCTGGACTTAGTCATTTTATTGGCCATAATCTGATGTCCAACGTTAAAATGAAATTGAGAACACCTAAGTTAAAGTTAGAAAGTGTTCTATATTTCATCTGTAAAGATAAGCATTTATATATAATAATAATAATATGCAAAGGATTAACTAGAAAATTTCTAGCTTTTCCCAAATTGAAAATATTTCTATAGAAGTATAATGTAAAAAGTATTGTACAGTGTGAATGAGAGCAAAAGAGATGTAAAACAAGTTGAAGAGCAGAGATCTAAATCATTGGAACTCAATGGATAACCTGACTTAAAGCCTATTCCTCATATGAACTTCACAGGAATAATGTGAAACATAATGTAAATGATTAATAACTACTATTAAGCCATTTATTAAAATTTGGGAAAAAAGCTTGAGGTAGTTTTAAAAAAATGAATAAAGACTTAAATTCTGGGATAAATAATATTTATCATTTTTAACATTTCACTGAAGGGGGAAACTTTCCCAAATTTTAATTCTAAGTACCAATAAAAATATTACCAGTGAAGATATTAGGGAAATACAGAAAAAACAAAGTAGGGTAAAATCTTTAACACTGCTAATATTAAAGAAATGGAAGTATTTTGTCTATTAGTGACACTTTTATAGAATTATGATAGGTATTGACAAAAAATAGTGATTCTTGACATATATTCTTACTTGCTGATATTATATAAATTGATATTTATCACGATTCCAAATCATAAAGTTGTTTAGATCATTTGATTAAATAATGTAATTTTTATACATTTATTCTAAAGTTAAAAAAAATTAAATGGTAATTAAACATTATTTAACAAATAAATATTGGAAGTATCAAAATGTCTAATTAATCAAATGAACACATCAATCAACATGAATGTATGGTATATAGACATTAAACAGGTTCTCATTTAGCAACTTAGAAAAGATCGATGATAAATGTCAAGTAAGAATACTAATGACAGAACATGGAATTGTGAATTCTGAATGAATTGTATCTTTTTTTAATTTTACACACATATAATCCACAAGATACACAATACTTTCATTATATGAGTTCTCAAGCTTAAATTGGTCATGGTACCGGGACCTTCACTAACAGCCACCTCCTTTCCCAACTCTCCACAGCCTAGGCATAATGAACTGCTAATGATAACCAAATAGGAGCCATCTGGGGTCTCTCACTCCTGAATGCATTCCTTCAGTTACTCTGCCTGGAACACTAGAAATACACACTTCACGACTCCTGTTTTGTGGAGCTAATTTTTCCTCTATAACTCAGCTTCTTCCCCACAGAAACATAACTGATAAATCCCAAATTCTCAAAACTGCTCCCTCCCCATGTTCCCATAGAGTGTTAAGCACATAGTTCTTTTTACCATATTGTCCTCTACCATATGTTTGCTAGTCTGTCTGCCTCACTGAAGTATAAACCCCAGGAAAGTATTGACTAGAACTCATTGCTTTCTTATGTATCCCCAGTTGCTTACCAGTATGCCTGGTATTCCAAGTACTTATTAATATAAAAGTATTTAAGGATGAGGGACATTGGATGATTTTGTCTCTCTGCTTCCCAAACTCTTGCAAAAGTGTTTTTCATAATCTTTTAATAAAACACTTCTTCTAATCCTTATTAAAAAGTGGCATTTTTTCATGAATTGAGATTGCTCTCAATTTCACATCACAAACCCTAAATGTGAGTCATTTTAACCTAGTTTAATTTTTATAGTTGGACTAATTAAAGCAGTTGTTTCAGTACTAACAAACATTTTTTTCCATTTAGCTGAAGACCAAATATTGGAAGAAGACCCTAAAAAGGAAACAAATATGGAGGTAATTTTAAAGCAGTCTTTTAAACTTTTTTTATTTGGAGTAAAAGAGAATCTGGAACTTATGGAAACTACCAATGTGTTTCTCCTGTGCTAAACATTTTGTAGATTTTGATATTAGCACTTTCTCTTAATGCAGGGTGCAATGGAAATTATAATTTTTAGGTAAATGTTAGACAAATGTCAAAGAGAAGCAAAGTTCAGGAGATGCCAGAATATTCTTGAGTCACATATAACCAATTACCCCCCCCCCAACTAGCTACATATAGTATAGTGCACGAGTCTACCAGTTTGTGCTGAAATTTGAATTGGTCTGAAACTTCATTGCTATCTCAGCTGAGCATCTGAATCTTCAGACCTGAATACAGATTGTCCCTGTATTCATATAAGTGCCTGTTACAAAGCCCAAGCTCAATGATAAATGCCCTAATCTAATCTGTTCCCAGCTAAGATACATCATTCAGAAAGTCCCACAAATATTGATCAATTTCAAGTTCCTCCACGAACTTGGGTCGTTTACTTGGGGATTGTAGGTTTTTGGTTTTTTTTTTTTAAAGATTTATTTATCTATTCATATGGAACTGGGGTACAGGCCAGAGATGTGGAGGGTGAGAGGATTCACCAGAGACAGAGTAGGGAGCAGAGAGTGGGGAGCAGAACAGGCAGATCAACAAAGTGCACTGCTGAGGGGAGCAGTGGGCCGGTCAGGAGAGGTCTGCCGCGCCATGTGGTCACCTCCAGGGCAGGCGGGAATCGAACTCATGAGGAAGTGGCTTTAGCTTCTTAGTGCAGTGCTTTAACCCGCTGTGCCACCAGGGAGGGCCTGGGGATTGTAGGTTTTTGTAAAAGATGATGCCCAAATTTTGAAATAATTGGATTGAGAAAAAGAGTGAAAGTAAATTATGACTTCTACAACAGCCTAGGGATTCTTTTAAAGATTAATGGTTGTATTACCCCAAGAGATTCTGACTATAATACCCAAATCCCAAAAATGTGTGCTACAACAGGAAAAGTCAGAAAATTGTGTATTTATTTGTTAAATGTATGTTTGACATCATTATTAGTGCGAGGCACAAAGTTCTTGAGAATATAGGCTCCTTCATGAGTGTATATGAGTGCACAGTAAATGAACAGGTAAAGATAAAGATTTCACTGCCAATAATCATCACAAGTACTGTTTAATGTTGTGTTATTGCTGGCCTTTAAAATCTTTTAAAATAAGGCTTTTGCCATAAGAGGTGGCATGGGAGAGCTAACATTTTTTTTATATGGAGATTTTAAAAAATTATCTGAAGGTCACTCTTTAATGTAGATTCCATGGAGTATATCTAGGATGTTTCTCTCATGTCTGCCTTCAGTGAAAATGAGTGCAATTTCTTTGGTCTTCAGGATGCCATTCTGCACTCTAACAGCCAGGTTCCTATCCTGCCTGAAAGCAGGAAGTTCATTTCCTCCTAAGTGTTGTAGTGTCTTCTCGGGAAAAGTTTTCCTCAGATCTCCCCTGGCTGTTTCTCTTTGCCTGGAATTCCTGACCAAATAGCACAAGAGCTTAACGAAGGGCAAGAAAGTGAAATTCATTAGTTTGCCTCCTGATTCCATCATTTATTAGCCACATGACCTTGGGCAAATATCTTGAACTACCTACACACTTTTTCCTATCTATAAAGCAGGGGTAATAGCAATGTCTATTTCATGGTACTGATGTGGGGGATTAATGAAATGGAACAGGCACTGCATCGTGTTTGGCACATAACAATCCATGCATGTGATCACCACTATTCCCAGGTAACCATTCTTAACACTGTGTACTACATTTTTTACTCTCCCCCTATTACTTTTCTTAAAATATGGCTATAGTTACTACTTCTAACTTTCCCAGATTCACCTGCTACTGAAGACTAGGGAGTAATAGGGAAATAGGGAAATTATAGTTTTGTTTTGTTTTTTTTTTAAATGGAAGAAAATAAAATATTAGATGCTTTCTAGACCCCACAGATTAGGCTGTCTTTCTTTCTCTTTAGCCCTGGCCAGTTGTCAAGCTTCTAATAATTTGCTTCATGATAAATTTAAAGTAATAATGCCAGAAAAGCTAATGTTCTTTCTATATTCCCCTAAAATGCTGCATTTTTGTCAATTAGAAAAGATTGCCTGATAATGTAGACATTGTATGAAAGTGAGCCACTGAATGTTAGAAACATTAAGTAGCACACTACATATAGATATCATTAAATTGTGTTATTTCATAGATGGTTTTTGTTCTCTACCCCACCAACACAAGCTTGGAATCGTGACTTTAGCTTTACATAATGAAAAGGCCTGCATAACATCAAGCAGCTCCTTATAAGTGTTTTGGTTCTTAGGATGAGCGCACAGTGCTGCTGATGTCGTCGTTGGAGTTAGTGTGTTTGGAGTGCAGGGTCCTTGGGGATTCACTCTGGGGAAGATTTCACCAGAGCTCTCCTTTCAGCGACACACGGCGAGTTTCCAGGCAAATTTCTGCACGAGACAGAGATGTTAGTTAAATTTAAACAGCAGGTTTATTAAGGAAAGGGACAAAAAGTTAAGGACACTTGCATAGGCACAAGCGGGCAGAAAGAGGCCCTGAAAGGGACAGGTTGGCTGGGAAGCCTGGTTGCAGGTGGGCGGCCTTAGGAGAGGGGCCTCTGCTGAGGTCAGTGCAGAGAAGTGCTGGCAGGTTGCAGGTCACAGGCGGGCAGGACTGGTGCAGAGGCTGTCTGATACAGACATCTTCTCTTTGGGAGGGGCTCACTCATAGTGAGCCTAGGTTTGTGGCTGATTTTGAATAGAATCTGAAAGGGCCAGGAGATCCACAATGGGCTCCATTTCTGTATCTTTATCTTTCACCTTTTGGGTCTGTGATAGACACAGCCCACAGCAGTCTGCTACCTGCTGGGATCTTATGCTTTGTAACCTAGACCTTGGGACCTAAGGATCTTGGTTTCTATAGCTGTGGCCATGCTGATCCCTTCTGTTTCATCCTCCAGCAAACCCACTAGAGTATCCTGAGCATCTCACCTGCGTGGTGGGGAGTAGGCCCTTGTCCCTGGAACCAGTTCATCTGTCCTTTCTTGAGACTGTGAGTGACACCATTTTCACTTGTCAGTTGATGACCCAATGACACAGTTTCTGTGTTCTTACTTGGAAAATACACTTCAGAATAAGATTTCTTCTGGGTTCTAAGAGCACGATCATCTCAGGGCACCTCTGTATAGTCTGTTGTGAATCTCGCTTTCAGTGTGAACAGCTTCCAAACTGGTCAGGCCACAGTTCAGGCCTGCACATGGTTGGAAGAAATAGCCAGGAAGTCGCTGGGGGCTTCATCTCTCAACGTATCTGCATTCTAGCTAAGGAGACAAAACATGCTGAAAACAATAGAAGCAAGATGTGCTTTTGGATAGTGCCAACTGATTTTTTAAAAATTCAAAGGAGAAGCAGCTGGCTATTGAGTATAAACAATCTGTGGAGAAAAGAGGAGACAATGAGGAAACCAGCTGACCGCTGTGGGTCTAAGGATGGCTTTTGTGGCAAAAGCTGTACCCGTGTGCTCTTTGAGACTGTGCTCCATAAGGCATATTCTCTGTTTCTACAGCAAGGGCCATGTTTTAAAACAGATTTAAAGGCCAGCAATAATACCATAAAACAGTAATTGTGAAGATTATTTGCAATGAAATCATTACCTTTACCTTAGAAAAATGTACATAAAATGGTAAGAAAGGAAAACATGAGTCAGTAACTAACCAAATCAGGGAGAAGCTAATACCTAGAGTATGGAAAAAATGGTTACCTAAGAAAGTCAAGCTTCAAAAAGAATGTATTTGCATTTTTTTCCAGTTAATAGCTTTTATTCAGTGGAAATATCTATTTCCTATAAAATAGATGAAAATATTTTGCTGCTAGACAAGTAAAAGTAACTTGTAACAAAGGTCATAAGAATTTTCATACACCTGGATGCAATGATTTTGTTTCTGGAATGTGGGCTCCCCAGACCCCTTGTTCTGGGGGATATTGTCTTGGTGCCCAGAGGTCCTGCCTGTCAGCTAGGTATAGGGTCAGGCAGGGGCCTCTTACAAGGAGAAAAGCCCTGGGGTGAGGAGCACAATCATCCCTGGCAGACTTTAGAATGGAGACACCTGTCTGCACTGGCAGGAACAATGGTGCCCCCAGGCACTAGCCCCTGGTCACCCCACCCTAGTTTACCTGTCTAATCCCATCCCAACACAAGCTATGTACTTGTCCCATCTTTGTGCTCAATGCTAATACATCTAAGACTTCTTTTAGCTCCGCGGGGTATTACTTCCCACTTAGCCCCTTTAGACTTCCCACTGATCCCCAAGGACTGACTTGAAGTAATTTTTTCCTCATCCTTTGCCACTTCCAGCACTGTCACCCTGGCTAGGCAACATTGGGAGTCGATCCAAAGAGGATAATTGAAATCATTAAAGCAGATGTATGTTAAAAAAGTCCCCTGTACTCCAATTTCTACTGGCAAAAAATTGAAAGACCCCAAGTAGCCAGCGATAAGAAGTACAACATATAAAAGAATACAAAAAATATAATTTCACTGTAATACATGTCCCTGCCTGGCCCTACCTCTAGCTGACATGCGGGACCTCTGGGCACCAAGACAATAACCCCGAAAGTAAGGGGGGCTGGGGACCCCATATCCCAGAAACAAAATCAGTGGGGGTCAAGGGTATGAAAGTTTTTATCTATACAAGGACATAGCATCCGACCATTAAAAAGACTGGTTGTGTCATCCAATGTAAAAGAAAAACGGTTAAGTCCAAACTATATAATTATTTTAACATGAAAAAAGATCATAAAAGTAAATCCAGTGATTTGATTATGTTGTTACAAAGGTATGGATAGGTATGATGATGTTCACATCTGTCATTTTTACCTGCTCTTATTAAACAGCTAACCAGAAAGACATGACTGTAAAATGATACGGCTAATGCGCGTATTCGCTGTTTGGAAGCTGTCTGTCCCCTTCTGCTTGACACCTGGCGCTCACAGTGCTAGTCTGCCGTGGTAGTGGCCAGAGCAGAACTCAGGGGAGGTAACTGGTTTCAGTCATGTTTCCCACATGGAAATTCCTCCTCCCCTCTTAACATCTGCTGGCCTGCTAGGCAGACTCCAGGCCACCACTTCAAAGCAGTCAGTGACTGACTTTCAGTTGCACAACTTACTTTTTAGCCTCAGTCATAATGGCTAGAAAATGTTTCTTGTGGAAATAAAACTGACCTTCTAATACAGCCTACTGGATCATAAGATCAGTGTTTGGAAGGTTCCAAAATTTTTATACCTGTTTTTATTTCCTTCCCACTTCCGTTAGAAGCAGTAGGCAGGACTGTTCCGAAGAGAGAAGCACTTGTGGCCAGCGCTGCTGCCACGAGAAGCCGCCTGTCCCCACATCAAGGAAGAAGAGCTTAAACTGGGTCCCACGTGGATGTCCTTGCTGCCACACAGAAAGTACTGTGCAGATACTCTGTTTAAAATACAAGTTACAATTTACAATACAATTTACAAGTTTTCTTTGATTTAAAATAGCTATTTTAAATATCTAAAGTATCATAGAAAATCTTAGCATAAGTTTAGTTTTAGAGCCAGAAAATTAGTTTATGACACCTACACAGTTTTTTAATACTGATCTGAGGGTCAAAATTGTTTGATTCATTTAATGAAAAATAAAATACTTTTATAGTTTAAATGTTGCTTTTTTTTTTTAAAGCTTTACTTACTTATGCATACAGAAGTAAGGTACAGGCCAGAGGTTCTGGGGCGGTGAGAGGATTCACCAGAGAGAGTGGGGAGCACAGGCAGATAGACTGAAATACACTGCTGAGGGGAGCCGAGGTCTGCTGCGCCATCTGGGTCACTTTCCAGGGCAGGGGATCAAACTCATGCTTAAGTGGCTGAAACTAGCTTCACATAGTGCTGTGCTTCAACACATGTGCCACCAGGGAGAGCCCCTAATAGATATTTAACTTTCTTTAAGTTGTAAACAATTTATTTCACCATTTTAATATTCAGTAAGCAAGGATTTATTGATCACAAATTGTCAGTCACTGTAGTTTACTCATGATTAATAAAAGTTTTTTCAAGCTACTTATTACCAATGATATCAGTTCTGACTTTGCACTTAGCAAAGTATAAAGACTCCATTCACAAAATGACCTTGTAGAGAAGATAATTTGGTTTGGTCTTATTGTCGAATAGAGCTACTACCATTTTTCTCCAAAACTCACCTCAACTATTTTTTTCCCCCATTGATAATTAATTGGCAGTAGTTGCTGCTTACTAAATTCCATTAGTATCCTATCTTGCCAGAGTTTCAAAGCAATTGAAAAGGAAGACGAAAGATTAAGGCAACTGAAGTCTTCATACACACCAACACACCCCTCTAACTCATTCATTCACTCACTCACTCACTCACA